CATCAGGTCCCAACCCCCCTGCATGGGCAGGGACACCTCCCAGCAGCCCAGGCTGCTCCAAGCCCCATCCAACCTGCCCTTCAACACCCCCAGGGATGGGGCAGCCACAGCTTCCCTGGGCTCCCAGGAGGAGCTGGACGAGCCCCTGGAGCCGCTGGCAGCACCGCAGCCTCCCCAGCACAAACCTGCAGGAGGGAGTAGCAGCGAAACGGGCTGAGCCTGGTTTCACACAACGTATGAACACTTCACATTTGCAGCTTCAAATCATTACTTACATGTCCCTGCCAAACCAGCAGCGCTGCTCCCGCTCTGCATCCACAACGTGCTGTACCGGGGAAAAAAAGATCCCAAGCTCTGTATGTCAACACGATCCCAGGCCAGCAGAGGGGAACAGAGAACCTGCTGCATCAGGAGGACACGGCTGCGTGTAGGCAAACCTGGGGCTTCCTCAGACTGCGTGGAAAAAAAGTCAAAGGTCTCCGAAATTAATCTTTTCTCCTCATCCTCTCTAATTGCATTCGGTGTGCAGAGAAACTGGATCTCCTGTGGCAGCGAATAACCCGAGTAAAGATCATTCCCAAGTTTTGAAATCGAATTATTATGATCTGTGGGTAAACAGAAGATCAGGGAAATACATTGCTTACCGTTATCCTCAGAGAGATACTGGGAAATACAGAGCTGAGTAGTCTACCAAGTGACAGGAATCAGATTGAGAGCAGATCACTTGTAAATGTTTTAGTGCTTGGCTGTTGGTGAGACCCAAAAATCACTTCTTTGTGATTGTGAGTGAAACAGAAACTCAAAGGCAACGAAGAGGGAGGGAAAAGGTTGTTCCCCATGAAATGCAGTGGTCCTTGAGTAGTCTGTCTGAAATGCAATAGTTCATCCATAAAATACTGGCAATAACAGCAGCACAGAACATTTACTGGTGGCTGCAGATTTATTTTGGAGAGGAAAAAGGTTGCAAGGGAATTAGGAGAAGTTAAGCAGCTTCTTTAGCATCTCAAGGATGCTCTCAGGGTGTTTAAAGCACCAAACTGTTACATTCTGACCAGCAGGAGGTTTTGCTGAACACTTCCCTGATACTGGGTGGGAAAGTCTGTACGTGTCATGTGGCTCCACAAGTCCCAGCACACTCAGGTCAGAGGTGGGTTTCAGGTAATGACCAAACCATCCTGCAGGCTGGTGATGTCCCCCTCCATGGCAGCACAGCAGGCACCTCCAGGGCTACACTGGGTTTGGTGTGAGACAGCTGAGCACCCTCCCAGCACCCTGCAGGTATGACACAGACCCCCCCTGCACAGGTAGGCTTGTAGCTGGGTGTGTTTGGATGTGCTGGAGTTGCCTGGAGATGAGAGCACCCACCAGAACCTCAGCAGAATCACAGGCTTCAGCAAACGCCTAATAAATCAATCCCTCCCTGCTCCTGTGTGGTGCCTGAGCCTGGAGCACCAGGAAAGGTCCAACTGCTGGTCCAGAGGGCAAACCCCCCCAGAAAAGGGGCACCTGGTGCTGTGGGGCACAAGCAGATCTTCTCTTCAGGTACCAACCCACCTGATTCCCTCCCCAGCAGCAGCAGGGCAGTCAGGAACCCCCTCCAAGGAGCTGCCCTTCCTTCCCAGGCAGAGCTGGCAACCTGTCTGGCCCAGTGAGGGGATTGTTCTGCTGAGTTTTCTCATAACAATGCAGACTATTAGTCTGTCCCTGGGGTTAACCCCGAGCTGCTGCACTAGCCCTTGGCCTCCAGCAGCAGCACAGAGCAGAACTGCACCAAGTGAGCCCAGGGTGCACCCGCTGGTGCCCTGCCAGCCAAGGAGGGGAAATGAGCTCCAGCCCAGCTCGTGGCCAGCTCAGAGCCTGCAGCATCAGGACTGATTGTTCCTGTCTCTTTTATTCTGGCTGGCAGAAGCACAGATGCTATTTTTATTCTCCTGTGCAGCTCACCCAAAGCTTTGACAAACCCCCTCTCTGGGAGCAGTGGTTACCAAGCACTAGTCCCTCTGCACCTGGACAGGGGATGAAACCCTGACAGCCAAACCAGGCAGGTTCTTGGGTGATGTAGCTGCCAGTGCCCTTGCTGA